CTTCATCTTCCTCAACACCCGCAGGGCCATATCCGGGTTATTGGCGGCCCGACACATATTCAGTACCACTTTGAAAGTCTTGACGCCGACGACGGAGCCCTCGGCTCTGTATCTATCTATGACGTCGGCAATGACTTTAGGGTTCCGGTCAACGCCGAGCAATTTGCAGGCATTGCCGTACATGTACGATGTGTGCCGGTGGGTGGGGTGAAGCGCGGCCCAGATGAAGAACCTGATGCCCAATTGGGGTTTATCGGCGGCGCACTTTTCTAGGACCTGTGTGATGCATTTGGAATCCAGCTTGGCCGTGAGAGCGTCGAGGGTTTTCTCAACGTGGGGGGCGTCTTTCTCGAGGACGGACATGAAACTTTCGGCCGCCGATGAAGAATAGGAGTTGAAATCGAGGAACTTATGGAGTGAGCGGTTGGGGGATTTGGGGGCAACTGAGGAGGAAGCGTACCGTGTGACTGAGAAAGAAATCGCCATCTTGAACGACTATTAAAAGAGAAGAAAAATGTAAGGACAGTAGGGTGATAGGTTTAGAGCTCAGCGGCGGAGGGTGGCGGCTTGCGGCGGTAGCCGGGCTCCTTCCATTCGAAATGTATGTGACAAACAAGGGCAGCAACAAATTTAACAGGTACTGTTCATCCTGTGCACATGTACAAAGAAAAATAAAAATATATATTATATGTATTATACAATATATAAAATTTTATATTAGATAATTAATGCATTACATTGTAAACTTTGACTACATGCAAATGTGTAATGTAAATATAATTTATTTAACTTACATATGAATATTTATATTGATACCATAAATTTTAATTGCTAGTATAATTTAGTAATTTAGAGAAAACATTCAATTAATTAGTTAGAAAAGTATTACAATTATTTTTGTCATTGTTATAACATTTTTCATGTAATTTTAAGGTGTTTAATTATGACTCTCATGCCAATTAACTAATATTAGATAAAAATCGCTTAAACGACAAAAATATTTTATTTTAGAAAAAAATATTTTAAAGAAAAAAAATGCAATACAATTTTTTATTAGTATGTAATTTCCACATATTATTTAATGTAAAGTTGTAACCAATTATTATTAGTAGTGAATAAATTAGTTTAAAATTATTATTACACTTTATTAATGTAAAATGTAACGGTTTTACATTAATTGAAAAAATGAGCGGGAAAATGAATAGAGGTTTTATTAATTAGGTTTTATTAAATGTTATATGCCAACAATTATATATATATAGATATTCTAGGCGGAATTGAAGAAACCTAAACGTGTAATTCTATCAACTAGTTCGTACCCCGTGCAATGCACGGGACATAGATATTAAATTAATTATTTTCAGACGACTCTGTTCGTTTAAGTCTAAAAATCAATAGGGTTATCATATATTTTTCACTTGTATATTAGGGCTAGCTTGTAAAATAATTAATATATTATCTATACATATTTAATTCTTTTTTTATCGGTTATACATATTTATTTCTTAATTTGAAATAAAAAATAATGTTTGACCAGTTGAGTATTAAATCAGCACTAACTAATTTATTAAGCAAGTAAATACGCAATGCAAGACAATTTAATTATCCAGCAATTTAGGGTAATATATAGTTATTTCCTTTATTAAACATGATTTTTAAAAATAAAACAACATCATCCCCAAATAATAGGCAACATTCATGCTTTTGTTGAAAAACAAAATAACAAAATCCTTAATTAATGGGTAGCATTTAATGCTGCCTTTTTATTAAAAAAAAAAAAAAGTTACTAAGAATTGAATTAATGCAAAATGATTTTGACCAAAATTCGACCTGCTATGTTTGAAAAATGGTAATTTTTTTTATATATATATAGATTCAGACCCAAAGCAACACAAGAAAATGTTGAAAAAAGTCTCCAACTATGCCCCTTATTTCGGTGAACGCTCCCCCCCACCGTGAAGCATGGAAAACTTGGGTATAACTTTTAGGATATTGTTTTATGAAAAATAACCGACGCAATAATGTAAGAGTGAAATGGAGTTACCTTAATGGCCTTTTCACGTGTATACCCGTCAACATGTACGTAATTTTCGTTCACATCCAACACCGCATTCAGTTCGTCCATAAAAAATTTAAACGTACGGTACCTTTCTTTTAATACCATGAACGTGACATAGGATTCTTTGAAGGTGACATTTGGATTAATTTCCGACAAACACTCTTGGTGAATATTTTCAAAGGCGTTCACTAACAGACTCTGTTGTCACCCCATTTGCCCGAACGAACCTTTGGACGATTACACAAAACAATTCTTCGTCAGAAGAACTCCATTTATTTGCAAATCCTTCTCGCACAATCTGAAAATGCTCACTCTTATTATTTGGCTCTGGAACTGTGAACATGTTGGTTCAAATTGGTGTGACCACAAGGTCTCAATACTACAAGTGTATTTATAAATGAAAAAAAACAATAAAAAAAAGTAAGAAAGATGAAGGAGTGGGTGAGTTCGTTTTTCTCATATTTAGCGGTGTATTCAATTTCAACTTTTAGATATTTTTTTAAACTTTCAGATTTTTGGTGTATTCAATTAGAACTTTTAGAGAATTTTGAAAGTTCTGTATTTAATTGAGACTTTTAATAAGTCTGTAAAAGTCTCAGAGTATTCAACTAAAACTTTCTGAGAGTCTCTATAAGCCATCTGGTATTCAAAACAGAAAGACTTTATGAGACTTTTTAAATTGTGAGACTTTTAGAGACTTTTGTAACAAAATTATAAAGAAAAAGTCTCAACAGAAATCTCATCAATATTGGTGAGATTTTGCTGGACTTATGTGACAGACTCTTCACGCTCTATTTCTTTCTTTCTTTTTTCTTTCTAACATGACTGTGTATCTCATATCACTTTCATTCTATATTATTTTACTTATTTATTTTGGTACCTTGTATAATTTTTATTTTCATTACGTATTATGTGATCTTTTATATTATATATTCTTTTATTATGCTTATTTTATGTGTGTATACATTTTCTCTCGTTTTGCTATCTTGTGGATTTGACTTTTCAAAGGTTAAATGCTTTCATAGTTTGCACTTAATAATTTATTTGCTCTCTCTTTTTATTTGTAAATGTTTATTTCAAAATATTTAAAAAATATTTTATTTTCAAATAGTTTATTTGTTGATATTGAAATATTCTGAATATTATTGATAACTTTATAAGATACAATTACTTTTTTCCGGCAGTGTTTGTGTCTTGTAAAAATATATCCTAATAATATTTTTCTAATATAGCAACATTATGCAAAAATAATATAAAAAATAAAATCACTCAATAATTAGAATAAATATATCTTAATTTGGGTTGATTATAAGTGTCGTCGTAGCAGAGATGTCTAACACATATTTGAGCTTGTGCTCCTTTAACAAACAAATATAAGGCCATGCTCAAGTTCGGCTCGTTGAAGCTCGGATTAATTTACTCTTTTAATAAATCTAAAATCCTAAACAATTTGCTCGCATAAGAGTGAGTTGATTCATAAATTTTTTGAGGATTAATATACATAACATATTTTTTTCATTTATTCTTTTGTTACTTATTATGCTACGTTTATTAATATTTTATTCAAATACAATATTATAAATACAAGTATATAATTGTCTCAATAAGTTTTAAAAAGTCCATTATGAAGTCTTAAAAAGTCACTAATGAAAATTTTCTTAGAGTCTCAAAAAGTCCACCAAAGTCATGAAAGTTCTCAAAGTCTACAAAAGTCACCAAATTATACAAGTTCTAAAAGTCCTTAAGAACCTCAATTGAATACACTTAAATACCCCATAACCACCCCTCAGCCTCATTTTTCACCAATCCATCAGAAAAACCAAGAAAAGTTAAAGAAAATAACCCCTCAGCCTTTGTCGAAGGAGAGAAAGAAAGTCGTGTTCAAACCATCAACCGAGTCTTTCTTTGCCTTCGTTTTATAACCGAAGAGAGGTATCAAGCAAGCCTTTTTCCTTTGACTTTTTTTTTTTTGCTGAGAATTATAAGTGTTTATATGTGCTTTCATGTGTTATCATGTGGATTAATTGCAGCCCTCGAGTATGTGAGTATATGACATGAAATTGTATAGATATCTATTTTCGGATTCATGTTACTGCAACATTTTGGAATCGATATTTACCCTAACTAATGTATCCAGAAAAATATGAAAACTTTTGTGTTGATTAAGGATTATGTTGAGGATATTCCTGTTAAATTTCAGATTATTTGAACCGTGGAGTGGCGTAGTTGGTTAGTCGATCTCTCCGGTTTCAGATGAGCTCTTCTTCCAAAGGCGACTAGTCATTTCCAGTCACACAGTCTGTTATGGCCACTTAAACGAACTCGACTAGACGGTAGCGGGTCCCCTTCTTCTACTTCTGCTTCTGCTCCCGGCAGTGAAATGAATCCTATAAAAATGATTTATTGAGTCTGTGCCCGAAGTGAATTTTGTGTAGTATTGTTTACTTGAGACCTTGATTTGCCCTACCTATGGATAACCTGTTAATTTGAAATTTTTATGATTAATTCTTGTGTAAATTGAGAATGTCCAGGTCGAATTTCAGCATTAGATGTTTTGTATAACAGGCTATAGGTATGTTGATTTATAAGTTATCTGGGTTCGAGTTCTTGAAACGACAACATGAAACAATTTTTGCCCTAGCTTTTGTTATCCAAATTGAGTGAAACTTTATGGTGTATTGTTTGTGTAAGTTTTGAGTATTTTTATTGAAGTCTGAGGTTATTTGGAAGTGTGTAACTTGAGACATGAATTTTTTAAGTTTGTGGTGCAGTTCGAATTCGAAAGTTCATATTCTAGCTGAAACTTTATATTTCTATATCTCAGCCCTCGGTTATTGTTTTGACCTTTGAAATTTTTATGGCATGTTAGTATATGTGTTGAGAGTATGCCTGTTCAGTTTCAACCAATATTCTGAAAATTGAACTGTTCATCGAACCAGTTAAGCTACTGGTTCAATGGTTCACTGGTCGGACCAATGGTCGAACCGGTTTAATTAATATATAATTTTTATTTATTTTGTATGTATGTATAATATATAATTTTATATATTTTTTATCATTAATTTTTTGGTGTATAATGATATTTTCTAAATAAATACAAAAAAATAATAATAATTGTGTATATTCTAGTTATTTTAGCTACCATGCTCGATTACAAGTGTACGCATATAACCAATATGCATTGTTTTATTTTTTCCATTTTCGAGAAAAGATTTTTTATGATTTTGGGCATGACAACATTCTTTAAGGGCCCTTTTGAAGGCTTATTAATGCTTACTGAATGTATTGGCATTAACAGGATTTAAGTACACTCTCCACCCATTTATAGATATTATTTATATTAATTATATGATTTATCAGTTAAGTCAAAATTGTCATTACCCTTTCCGATTTGGACGCCCTAAATGGACAGTTTTATATATTTTGT